AGACTAAAACATAGTCTTTCTTATAGAAAAAAGTCTCAGAAATCGATTGGAGTAGGTTTCATCTTGGGCACGATAGGGTAAGTTGGGGTTTTTCACAGTTTTGCCCTAAAATCTCCAATTTTGCATGATTTGAATGCTGTATCTCAAGATACCGATGATATAGAAGGACGATTTCTTGGGCAAAGTTGATCAGGAGGTCAAAGACTGTTGGATGATGGACAGAAAAATTCGAAATTATTCCGCTAGGCGGTGCTAGTGAGCATTCGAAGTGTATATGTTTGTGCTGCTGTATCTCAAGATCCTAACTATTTAGACGGATGATTTCTTCGGCAAAATTGATCAAGGGGTTAAGGATTGTTGGATGATGGACAGAACAATTTGGAATTCCTCCACTAGGTGGCGCTAGTGATTATTGAAAGTGAATATATTTGTGCTGCTGTATCTCGAGATCCTGACTATTTAGACGGATGATTTCTTCGGCAAAGTTGATCAGGGGGTCAAGGACTGTTGGATGATGGACAGAAGAATTCGAAATTCCTCCGCTAGTTATCTATGCTATCTATGATCTTCTCTGGCTATTACGTCTCAACTGTAACTTAACGCCTGCTCTCAACTTAGTGCTCTAGATGCACTTCCACAGTTGTTAATTGAAAGCTTTCCAAACCTGTTCGATTTTTACATGTGTATATTGTGTGCCAAGTACAATAATATACTATGCCCAGGGAAGTCGAGAAATTTTCCAATCTGAAATCCTAGACCAACCGGGATTTGAACCCAGCCACCTCCAGCATGGTTTGCTTTATAGTCGCAGGCTCTACCGACCGAGCTTATGGAGGCCCCATGTTCTATGAATGTAATCAAACTAAAATGCGAGATGGTAGCCTAATTAATAAATTTTGAGGACAGTTTGGTGAACCTAGAACGTCTTAAACATATCGAATTCAAACGTAAATAATGTGCATGATATTTTTAACCCTGTTTGGAGATGTTTTAATACAAAGGGCTTTGAATCAGTGAACCTGGATGAGAATTTGATCTGAACTCAAGGACTATTTAGAGAACCGTGAGTATCTTATACACCTCAAAATCAACTATAAACGAACAGCAGAAACTGTATAAACGTGTTTCGGAATGTTATGTCGGTGAGATCCCCGTGCAGATTTTAGTTGATCCAGTAGATCAAATAATCTGACCTCTAGAACAATTTGAAGAACCTAGAACTAGTATTAAACACCTTAAATTGATGTTGTTTGGAGATGTTTAGTTGCTAAGGACCTTGTATCAGTTATGGTTGATCAGGTAAATCATTTGATCTGAGCTCAAGACAATTTGGAGAACCTTGATTATAAATCAAAATAAATCAAAAACGATCCGCAGAAGCTTTATGAACATGTCTTTGTAGGTTTTGTCGCTGAGGACATCGTGCAGTTTATGGTTGAGCCAGTAGATCAAATAATCTGAACTTCAAAGCAACTTGGAGAACTTAGAACATCTCATACACCATCAATTACAACGAAAATGATGTGCATTATAGTCATGGACCTGGGTGCATAATTATAAAAATTTACCAAAAAATTTTTCATTCTGTTAAAAAATGTCAAAATTAAGCGGAAAATATGAACATCACTGTTTAAAACTTCTTTTGAACATTCAACATTCTTAAACGGTGGACGTCACTTATCCGTAGAAACAGTGAAAACATATTACTCTTTCTCCGAAAATGTATGGTAACGTCACTTTGTCTCCAAGCTTCCAAAACACATTTTTATCACTAAGAGAGTGTTTTCTGGTGTATCTTAGGGTATAGATTATGAATATAAAGAAAAGTGAAAATTGACCATGGTGGCGTTTACGTCACTTTGTCATCTCACGGCAGTAAGGGCCTTGTACCGGTTATGACTGACCTGGTACATTATTTGATCTGAGATCAAGGACAATTTATTCATATATATAGAGATGAACTAGCCTAAGGCTAAAAATCTCTTAAATAAAGAATTAAAAAAAAAAATTCATATATACATCAAACTGAACATGAGCGATGTACAGAACCTCTTTGAACATGTTTGAGCAAGTTTCGACGCTGAGGACATTGTGCAGGCCTTGGTTGTCAAATGTTCTCAACTACAGAATGCTTTGGATGACCTAGAACGTCACTTGAGCTTCTTATATACATCCAAATAGATCAAGAACGATGCGCAGTAACTCCTTGAACATGTTTGGGCAGGTTTCGCCGCTGAGGTATTTGCAGGACATTATCAAAAAGTGATGACCGGGTCATAGAACTTGTTATCAATTTGATGTTCTACTAAAAACCGTTTACTTGACTTTGTGTCTAGGGCACTGCGAAAGCACCTGCGGCTGTTGCGCAAGGTGTTAAAAACTGGATTGGTCAATTTAATCGGCGATGGTCAAAAACCCACAGTAAGGACCGGTTCTTTAAGAAGAATGCAGAGTGACTTGAAAACATATTCGAGGTAAGAATAATGGGCGTGCTTAATTTTAGAAAGCAGCATAAATTAACGAAGAAACGTTTTTAATACGATACCGTCGAACATTAAAAAAATTAACAGTTCGGAAAAATTGTACCTGTTGAGCGAAGTGCTAAATTTTCAAAAAACAACGGATTCCAAACCAATTTAAATTGAACTTGAACGAAAATTAGTAAAAGCGTGGAAATGCGTTAATATAAAGCAAAAATATCATTTGGTTGTTGATTTTTCGAAAACTTGTTCCAATTATGACCTGTGGGAAAAAATATTTGCTTGCATTTTTGATATATTTTTCCAATATGTTAGAAAAATTAAACAACGCCGAAAAACAAATCGGGCGGTACAATTCCCTTTAAATACCAGATTGGTTTTTATGCGTGTGCGTGTGTGTATGTGTGTATTCAATCTAACCCCCACTGGCCGGTAGTGGTATTATGGAAAAAAATTGCTTACAACAATCCTTGATGTAATAATTTAAAGCAAGTTTAGTCCGGGCGTTAGAAAGCGATAGTTCTACTGCAGATTCAGCAACCCATTTCAGAATTCCTGGTAATTCACGCTCATTCCGAGGTTACTTTCACATACAATAAGCCCCACACTACCGTTATCATATGAATAATGGTACAGCAAACACACTTCCAGATTTTGAAATGTGATGTTTCGAAATCTGGCGCGTATTTAGTAATATATGGAAATATGTATTTATGATTGATTTATAATCAGATGGATTTCACCAAATTCTTCCTCCGAAAAAGCACCGGTTTGTTCACTCGTGGTAATCGAAAAAATCTTCCGCGTTGTTTTTACAACCGAAGACGACATTTTGAATCACATGCGAAGTTTTTCATTTGCACCGAATTTTTGCCTGACTCCTCATTCGCGTGCATCCAGCAGAAGGCAGAACGCCAACACCTAGAAAAGAAAACCGGTAAATCTCTTCTTGGGAGGGAGGCAAAGGATCAAAAACAAGCGAAAAGAAAAACCGACACCACAGCAACACAGTTTCTCGAAACAAATTATTGTCCCAGTATTTACGTTAATTACAAATTCACTAAAAGCTGATTAAAGCGTGATAGATTTTAATTTACGCATATCCACTCGCGAAAACTAATATTTTTTGACTTGGTACAATTCAAAAATATGCGGGAAACAGAGGAAATCAGCGCCAGTGAAAACAAAACCAACCGTTCGCGGGCAGAGCCTACTGCTTTCTTCATACCTTAGTTTTAGTTAGCGGGAGCTAAATTCTGTATAAATTCTCAAATTACAATTATAGTCGTCCCATAAAGGTGGCTCATGAATTTGAGGTAGCCGGGCGCACATTTGAAACCTCAGTTAGTAACTAGCTCTTAATTTACCATAACAGCACTTGTTAAAAGTAATAGTAATTCTTACATCCAACTTCAGCACCAACACTCCGATGGAAACAATCAAATACCAGATTGGCTTTTGTAACCTTAAAAATAGACGTGCTTGGACATGCCAAGTGAAGTGCTTTAAAAATGGCTTCAAAATTTAGAAAATGACATAGCAACCCCAAAAATAGCTTTCAAGTTATATTGACATGTTAAAATAAATCTATAAACGTCAAAATAGCTCAAAAAGCTCCTAAATATTCCAAAATGTGGATATGTCTTTTAAAGTGTCAGAACGACCTAAACGTCAAAACATCCTTAGAAAAGGGAAAAAGAAAAATTGACGAGTCATCTTTCTCAAGACATTTGCAAACTGTTTCGATGCCGTTCTGACAGATTTACGGTAGAATGATATACCTATAGTGGTGATGTGGATTGTATTTCTGATCCTCTAGGCACTTTTATTGATCTAACGGTTCCAAGTAAAATATATACACAGAATCATCATTGAATAAAACACGCTATCGATATGTTCATCACTGGCACAACTTCCCGGTACATACTTTCTCTTAAGGGATGAGCTCAGCAATGACATGAAGCACATTTTGTACCATTGGTGCAACTCTATTTGCACCAGCAATTAGTTCGAAACTCACTGACCATAAGTAAATTGCTCTGGGGGCCAGCTCTCAAACCATAACACACTTCCATCCATACCATTCGCAATCCGCGCCACCATGAATTATTATTCCCATAAACCGGCGCCAGAGGTGTGCTGAACCAAATTCCGTTTGAAAATCCATCGATAGGTAGCGGTGACGAGTACAGGCTGTATGAATAATACCCGATGGGTACCCAAAGTTTTTGGCATTCCAAAATCCTGTTCGTCAAATTAGTCCCATTCGCGAATGAATGATTGAACCCTGTGGCGAGTTGTCCACGGCAGCAACTTTTTCCCACATAGCAGTAGCGGTAGCAACAGTGGCAGCAGCAGTTCCGTGTCGTTGGAACTTTTTTGTTTTATTCAAATTTACATACGACTCATTTGGAGCTGGGAAAAAGTGCCTAATCTAAATTGGAAATATGAACGCGTCGGCATGTGATAGAAATCTAGCTATACACACTGATTGATCTTCTCTCTTTCTCGATGAAACAGATATTGACGAGTGCGTAGAGCTGGAGCACGGTTGCGACCACTGTCGGAATGCCTACGGTGGGTACGAGTGCACCTGTCCGGCAGGTTACGAGCTGGCTGACGATGACAGGACCTGTCAAGATATAAACGAGTGCGAGGCCTACAGCCACGCAGAAGATGACTACGACGATGAGGAACAGGAAGATGGGCGCCGCAACTCGCTGGATATTTGTTCACACGAATGTGTTAACACAGTCGGATCGTTTGAGTGTAGATGCCCGGATAACTTTCATCTGAATCATGACCGAAGGACGTGCGTGAGAGATTTCTGTGCAGACTTGTACGAGAATCCAAACAAGACCCGGTGCTCTCATGAGTGTAAAGATGGAACGGAAGGTTTTGTGTGCAGCTGTCCGGAGTTCTACATTTTGGATGAGTACGATCGGAAGGCTTGCAAGAATGTATACAGCTGTGGTGAGGAACACAAGAAGCGCTGCAATCCAGGGGTGTGTAGAATGATTGAGGGTGGTGACTACAGATGTGAATGCCCTTCGGGGTATCAACAGCATGATCATAGTTGTCATGATACCGATGAGTGTGAACAGGGTAGACATCTTTGCTCCCACAACTGCCATAATATAGCGGGAGGGTACGAGTGTAGTTGTCCAAAGGGGCTACAGTTATCCACGGACAGCAAAACCTGCGATGACATTGATGAATGCGAAGAACAAGATGATGAAGACCTTTGTGGTGATCTTAATTGCTTGAATACGTACGGAAGTTACAGATGTGTATGTCCGGAGGGAAAAGAGCTGGATGAATACGGCATCTGTAGACAGATGGACTTGTGTACCACGGATAATGGAGGTTGCTCGCATATCTGTACATTTTTCAATAGAGAAACGTTCTGCGACTGTCCAGACAATATGGAGCTCGCAGAAGATGGGAAGACTTGCGAGGCGATCAACGACTGCAACCTTAACAATGGAGGCTGTTCGCACATCTGTGATCCTAGTGCAGAATCCCTCTGTGGATGTCTGCAAGGATATGCACTAGGTCATGATGGTCGTACATGTCAAGATATCAATGAATGTCGTGAAAACAACGGAGGCTGCCACCAGAATTGTGTGAACTTTGAAGGTGGATACAAGTGCAGCTGCTTTGAAGGGTTTGAACCTACGTTGGATGATGATAGCTTATGCCAGGACATCGATGAATGCTTTACGAACCAAGATGGTTGTGATCACTCTTGTCACAATACGGAAGGCTCCTACCGTTGTTCCTGTCACAATGGGTATCGCTTGGCCGATAACGGCCACTCATGTCACGATATTAACGAGTGCGAAGAACATAACGGAAAATGTTCGCACATCTGTATTAACCTACTGGGAGGTCATCAATGCTCGTGTCCTAAAGGACTTTACCTCATGGAAGACGAACACACGTGTGACTTTGTGGATGAGTGCGAGTTGAACAATGGTGGATGCTCTCACGGTTGTCACTACGAGCATGGTGTCGTTAGCTGTACGTGTCCGAAAGGGTTCGAATTGGAGCGTAGTAGCTTTAAGACTTGCGTCGACGTTAATGAGTGCGATCATAGGAATGGTGGATGCTCGGACACCTGTACTAATCTGCCGGGAAGCTACTACTGTTCGTGTCCGGAAGGATTGGAGCTGGGTCGCAATCGCCACACATGCGAGGACATAGACGAATGCATCGAAAACAACGGAAACTGTACGAACATTTGTATCAACCTACTTGGAGACTATCGATGTGCATGCGAAGCAGGGTTCGAACTGGAAGAGGATGAGCAGACTTGCCGTGATGTGGACGAGTGCGCAACGAAGATCCATGACTGTTCGCACTTTTGCGTGAACGTTCCGGGGACGTTCGAATGTGAATGTCCCTCTGGTTTCATTCTGGGACGGGACAAGTTTACCTGCGAGGACATCAACGAATGCGAGACTTTTTCGAATAAGGGAGGTTGCGAACATCACTGCATAAACATACCGGGGTCGTACCGATGCGGCTGTGAAGATGGCCATCGTTTGGAGTTGGACAACCGGACATGTTCGGATATTGACGAATGCTCGGATGAGTTTAGAAAGTGTTCCCATGATTGCGTCAATACCAAGGGTGGTTTTGAATGCTCTTGTCCGTCGGGGTTGAGGTTGCACGTTGATAAGGCAACTTGTCTGGATATCGACGAGTGTAAGATAAACAACTTCAACGGAGGATGCTCGCACATATGTGAAAACCAACATGGAAGCTTCACGTGCAGATGCCCAGATGGGATGATCTTGGGAGACGATCTGGCAACTTGCGAAGATGTTGACGAGTGTTCAACCTTGAATGGAGGCTGCAGTCAGCGATGCGTCAATCAACGTGGAGGTTTCAGATGTGAGTGTGAATCAGGATTTGCGTTGATGAGTGACAACAAGACCTGTGAAGTCAGTAATCCATGTGCTCTACGGAACGGAGGTTGTCTACACTTTTGTAATTTACGGGAAGGACTTCCCGTGTGCTCCTGTCGGGAAGGGTTTGTTCTGAACAAAACGAACAAGGTAAGCTGCATGGATTTCGACGAATGCCGATCGCCAGCCGATAACAATTGTCAGCAAAAATGCGTCAATATGGAGGGTTCGTATGCTTGTGATTGTTATGCCGGGTACGAGAAGAATGCTCTGGGACAATGCATAGATATCAACGAATGTCTCGAGGAGAATGGAGGCTGTGGAGGCAAGGCAAAGTGTATTAACCTAGCTGGCAGTTTTCGTTGCGTGTGTCCTCCGGGTTCCAAAATGGGTAAGGACCGTAGGACATGCTTCGAAATCAAGGATCGTTGTAAGCCCCTGACAGCTCCAAAGAATGGTGAAGTACGGTGTTCTAGGTCTCGGCATAAGACACAGCTATTCTACCGAACAAAGTGTTCGATTTCGTGCAACAAAGGATACAAATTGCTGGGACCGGGTACGAAGCACTGCAACGGGACGGGACAGTGGGACGAAGGTGAATCGCTGTGTGTTCGTAAGTACTCAGGTTTTGTAAGTGCTTGTCGTTTATTTGAATCAATCTCAATTGTACTTCCCAGCTCAATCCTGTCCACGGCTTCAGCGTCCAGAGCATGGAACTATCCTACCGGTAGCATGCATGACAGGTAAGACCTTTGCCGGTGAACGTTGCGTGCTGCACTGCAAGTCCGGTTTCAAACCGGTCGGTAAACGAACGGCAGTTTGTGATACTGAACAGAAGTGGAGTCCCACTCCGAATCTACGTTGTGCTCCTATGGCAACGGCAGCCCCAGCCCCAATCAAACCGCAGATTCAGTGTCCTCCTGACGTTCATGAGGTTCTCCCCGTTGGACATTATACCATGAAGATTCAATTGGAACAGCCGAAAACTAACGTAGAGTGGTACCAGTTTGTGGATGCTCATCCGGCTTGGGGTAAGCAGCTGGAGGCAGAGCTTCCAGCAGGGGAGACTTCGATGACGTTCCGTGCGAGGAGTCCAAACTCACCGATGAGTGATGTCTGTCAGGTTTTAATTAAGATACGAGGTACGTCGTAGCTGTTAAAATTTAATAGATTCTAGTACATAACGAGATACGTTTTCAGAACGGAGACCACCGCAGGTCGTTAACTGTCCAGACTCCTTCAACGTTCAACTGGAGAATCACGAGACATCCCGGTCCGTGTACTGGGTGGAGCCCAACTTTGACACTGAATCCGAAATCAAACAGCTGTATAAATCCCACTCTCCAGGTCAGATGTTGATAGCTGGCGTACACTACGTCAATTACGTTGCGACGGATGCTGATGGACTGAGTGCGAAGTGCAGCTTTGGAATTACCGTTAAAGGTAGGGTTTTTTTTTTGCGTTATTCAAATTGATCTTCGTTGACTAATTATTCTCGTCTCTAGCTCCACCTGAACCATACGAGCCACGACGACCTGTCCATCATCGACCGCTGGAGACGAACCGCCTCGAGAACCACGAATCGTACCTGATCTGTCCGGGCAAGTCCCCCATTCTGGTAGACTTGAACAGCCCCGTAAGTAGACTGCACATAATTTTACACACCATTTGGCATCCCCATCACTACCACCACCACCGCTGGCCTGTGCACGATCATAACCAAAGCCGAAAAACTACCAGCCAAAGTCACGTACCATTGCATAGATCTAATAATGTACCTAGTACTGTTCCAACGAGTGCAGCAACTACCACCACCTCCGCAAAACCATCGAAAAGCTCAAACAACAGCTTAAACTCATCGTCCGAGGCGAACAAACTACCCGTCCGTCACTATCAGCCATCAGCAGGCTATAATGATCATCGCAATAATCATAATCATAATAATCACCGAAAACAAATCGTCCCAATGCGACCTCCTGTCCCGCGCTATCCACACGGGTCTAGTCGTAGTCGTCATTCCACCACTTCAACTATGGTCCATATTTGGGACTGTTCCGAAGAAGCGGAGGATGAATATGATGGCGAGAATGGCGACGATGATAGGATGAATGAAGTGGATGGCAAAGGAGATGAGGAAGGGCAGGAGAAGTACGACGACAACGACGACGACGACGACGACGAAGAGAGTAATCATATCGCAAATCAATCTAACCATATAGAGTACTTTATCGACATCGTCCATTGGCTTGTGCATCGTCGGCGCTATCATCGGCCACGGTCGAATCATTGATCCATGAGGCTTTGCATTTAGCATCAGTTAGTATAGTAGATAATTGTTACATTTTCGAGATGCAGATTGTTGGACTGTAAATTTTATGTGAATTTTACTATGTGGGAAATCGTCGAGGCTCTCATATAGGCAGGGAACCACGATCCACCAGTGCCCACCAAGAAAAACATAAGTTTAATCGGTAGACCGATAAGCAGTATTAAAAGTTATGTAAAATGTATTTATGCACGACCGACAGACACCTATTGGCATCCGCTCGCCAGTATGAATAGCTACACTATGGACTAGGCAAAATACAGTTTGTAGAGTCGTCGAGAGAGTGAAGGGGTTGACTTTTTGATCTGATCGATGGTGGTGCCACACCTCCACGACGGATCGGATGATTGGGTGTTGTTTACTTTCCCCTATTTTTGGGCAGTCTGGTTTAAATTAGTTTAAGGAAGCGTGGGAACCAATTTCTCGTCAGTAAGCACTTTCACGGGTATAACGGAAATAGGACCGACAATTGATTTTACATGCCCTGTACTCACAGAGCAGATTGTTTACATTTCTTTTTTAAATTCGGAACATGGCTTGTTGATGGTCGGGTTTGACATTGTGGTTGAATTGCACTGAATACAATTTGATGTGTATGATTAAAACATTTGTAGCAGTATTTGATTCTAAGGCTCACTAGGTATGTATGTTGAGGCATTTTGAACTTTGAATAGCATTAGGATGGTTGACTTTTAAAGAGTTTTACATCATCTGTATATGTATCCAACAAGAAAAATATGTATTAATATTTTCGTACAAAACTCTCACCAAATTATTTCCCTGGTATGTATTGGTGGAAAAGAAATTGATTCGCAATACATACTAACAAACTTTTTTTTTCGAATAATTTAAAAAATCTTCCCACGACTGCATTACAAAATATTACAGATTCAGTATTTAGCAGCAGCTAGTAGAGAAAGTTTACTCCATGAGACGCCGTTGCCAGTTTGTGTATTAATGTACATTAATAATATTTAAATTCTTCTTCTTCTTCTTCTTCTTCTTCTTCTTCTTCTTCTTCTTCGCATATCAAGTTTAATGCTTATCGCATTTTAGCTTATTGCGTGCTCTCAACTTATGCACTTCCACAGTTATTAATTGAGAGCTTTCGATGCCTGTAACATTTTTGCATTTTTGCAAAGGTCGAAAGGGACAAAAGGTCGAAAAGAAAAAAGAGAGTCAAAAGTCCAAAACCTAATGAACCAGAAGAGATATGATTTTATGTTATTTTCCCTTATAAAAGCACTGCTCGTTTTAGTTTGGTTGGTTTTAGTTAAAAAAAATGTTTAATGATTTGAAACATTTGTTCTTTTGACCTTTTGCCCTTAAAAAAAAAATTCTTTCGAACTTTTGTCGTAGATTCTATGGATTTTCTAAATTTTGTTTCACTCCCTGCTCATCACTTGCAGAAGTCTTAACTTTTTCAATGACGATTAAAAAAAATGGCTATAAGATTTAGCACACATTAAGGTAGTAGAAACACATTTGCCTTTCTATGAATCATACTTCATGGAAAGTTAACAATACTGCCAACAATACCAACAATACAAGCTAGAAAAATTGTTTAAAAAAAAAATGCTTTAAATATTTTTTCTTTAACTTTGCTGAAAAATGAAATCAGCTATAACTTCAAACACCAACAGCTTCTGATTTAAGAAAAATGAGGATCACCTTAACCTTAAGGTTCATTTAAATATAAACAACTTCTCGGAAGACAGTATCCCTCCAAAATGAATAGCAACATAGTAAATAGAAATGTCTGCTATATTGGCGTTTTGGTATACAATGCAGTTTTTATAATCAAAATTCTGAAACTATATTTGGACTGTTTCATTATAGTCACCTTGATAGTTTTCAGTTAACTCTAAAAGAAGTCAGATGAAAAATTGAGTGAGCAAAAAAGCTTTAGTTAATTATTTTTCCTGTTCAGTAAAATGGATTAAAATAACCCAAAATCGGAATCTCAAGCCCTAAAAATTGCACCGAATGAACAAGAAAACAAATTTTGTTTCATCCCTCCACTATATCAGTCGTTGAAGATTTATTGGCTATAAAATATGTGCCACACTTATAGCGCGTGACAAGAGACGCAAGACAAAGTGATGAAAGTATAAACATCGAACAAAAATCGATCTTAGCTCACATTTTTTCATCATACGCATGATATCCTTATCAGAATCGCTATCCAGCATCGTACCAACATCATCTATCGCTTTTCGCCTTCAGCCTTCGAGACAGAGAGGAAGATCCAGCCTACAAACGTATCAATCCGCAGTAGGTTCGATGCGTCTCATTAATGGGATGCTACACATAATTTATGCCTCAATTTGATTGTGTTTGCTACACACATCACACGCTCACTCAATCACACATTCGCTTTTCCTTCATCACTGTACTTGCTTCTTCCTTTTTAGTCTAGCTCTGGTATCATCATCTCATCATGACACAGCCAGACTAACATATTTCTTATTTATTCTGCTTTTATATTCGCCTCTTCGAATCGATCGTTCGAAGGGAAATCAATACGGACGACTCAATTCCCATCTCCGTTGTTCCATTGGCTGTTGTTGTTAAATTTGTTATTTGTTACGCATAGAAGATGTTTTCGCTTCGTCTCACAGTGGAACTTATCTCGTGAAAGGTGGTAAAATGCACTTGGAGAAATTTGTAGATGGGTCAAAAGTACTTAGAATCTTAGCATTAACAGTAGTATGTGAGTTTGATTGTTTTTGTTCTTCTCTCTCACTGTATAAGTACTCAACAGTTATTAATTAAGGGTTAGTCGAGACATTTTCCAGTTAAAAAAAAATCCTCAACGCGGACGGGAAATTGACCACACCATCAAGTATTACGATTGGTCACTTAAGGTTTGCTCAACGTGAATCGGGTAGCACCAGTTTCGTGGTCATTAATGTCATTAATTCATTCATTTTCATCAACCTAATGATTCATACACTCATGCAACGGTTTGGATTGAAAAAGCACTCACTTCAACTGCAAAATATAAAAAAAAAACAACAACAAAATCCCTCTGTGCGTCACTGTGTATGGATTTTAGGGTAGTTCAAAAAATAAATTTCGCTCCACCCCACTCAATCGATTCTAAATCAGGTCCAGATCATTACTTGTTCAATCAAAAATGTACTTCAGCAAAGTTGTCGCAGGGAAAATTTTATTTACGAACAGATATCAAACTATTCTGTATTGAACGATGAGTTTAAAAAGTTAGCTTTTCGCATAATAATTCCCATATAAACTTAAAAGGCCAGTATGATCACAACCAAATGAGCTCAAATTATGGGAGGATATTTAGGACCTGTTTGGGAATCGATTGATCACCCAGGAGGAAATCGAAATTTTGTATCACCCTAATGGATATATGTTCGATTGTATAGAAAAAAAAGAATAGACCTCATCAGCAGACACCAACATGCGAAAAGGCCCTTATCAATTCGGATATAGAATGCCTGTAGACCTGGTATTACTTTTAGAGTGTTGAAATTGCTTCCACGGTGGCGGATGGATGATAAAAGTGGATTGTCACATGTGACATGGATGATGATGACACATGGATTGTCACTGAATTGGGTTCCCAAATAAATGCGCTTGTTATAGTCAGTAGTTAGGTAGGGTTAAGATCAAATTTCTATCGAACTAACATCAACCCGAACTTTACCTGTACGTATCTATCAAACGTGACTTCTAAATTTATGTATCGTTAGATTTGATGAAAAGTCACAAATTGTTGAGATATTGTTAAAAATCTACAACTGCTTACTGATTCCAATTCCGTCACACAAGTTTCAATTCCATCCAAACACATTTAAGCGTAATTGAATTCACTTCGGCATGAAGGCAGACACAATGGATTTGCTAGGAGCACTTCTTTTGTTTTTGAGAAGAATCGATGCAAATATTCATATTTATGTGGTATAACAGACTTTGATTTGTGGCAAACTATCGTACCAAACCTATGATTGATTCGTTCACGTCAACATTATTGATACATTTGATGTTTATGCTCGATACGACGGAAATTAGACAAGTCAGTCAATCACACCCATTAGGATCCGAATATTCTGTATTATTTGGAGTATTCACAGCAAAAAAATAATTTTGATATCACATCAAAGTGGATGCACTACAATCATGTCGAAAATTTTATGTAATTTTTATGACCACATAAATAAACAAATGCAGTAAAAGCAGCGTAATGTCAGTTCATGCATTGTATTAATGATAATTTTGTCCTTTTTAGCCAGTAATATTACACCATATTTTCGACATGATTGTAGTGCATCCACTTTGAC